GTCTCTGTCTGGTTTTAGGCCCAGCTTCAAATAGAAACTACACTGGGCAAGAGGTTTGACAGATATCTTTGGGAGAGAGAACCTCTCAGCAAATTTTAAGACCATCAGTCATCTGGTTATCCTTTGGACTTTGGAACATTGCATTACATATCAAAGCAGCAGAAGTTGGCCGAAAATAGTCCAAGGAGTCCAAATGTGGCAAAATGTAACCTAAATGGGATTTGCAGAATAGGAAAAATGTGGGGGGTTTTGGTAGAGGATATGGCAGATTGTATGTCCTCAAAGATCTCCTGGGGGAAATTGTTGCCTCCAATAGTTGCTCTTTTTTGCTTTAGAGACAGAATGGGAATGGGATTGACCCATGAGAATTTCTCATTTAATCTGCAAGCTATCTTCTATCTGTGAGAAACCAGGAAGTCAACACATGGTCGACTAGAAGATTCTGAGATAATACTCAAAAAGATATGGTAGTGGACTTATGTTTGGTGACAGCATTACTCCTCCCATGACTATAGTAGATACATGGAAATGTTCAGTATTTTACATAATCCTTGTAACTGAAATAGATGTAATAAGGACATTAAGAAAACTGTTCATCCATAATTGTTGTTTCTCTTTTTCTTTAAACCCTTCTCTTTTCCTTTGTCACATATTTAATATTTTATCATGGTTAATCTATTAACAATGACTCCACCCACCCATCCCCTTTTCTTCTTTTTTTTGTTGTATAAATTTAACTTGCTTAATAAAAAGGTGCTCTGTCTATGCTGAGTGTCATCATGATCAAGGATGATGACATATCCATCAGAAATGGAGTTGGCTAGCTTGTCAGTACTATTGTGGTAGTATAGCATACTATGGCATGGATTTAAAGTGTCATTCATTGTTGTGACTGAGTGCTGAATTGCAACCATGTTAAAACTGAGGTTAATATTATTTATCATTCATATTTCTTAGTTACATGTATTTATTTTAATTTAACCAAGCAGCAGAACTATCTATTTTAACAAACAAATAATGGTATAACAATAATACTATGTCTTCAGAAATGTGTTTATGCTAGGTCCTTGAATGTTTATTGTAATGTAGCAATAGATTTCTGTACAGCCTCCAGGTTTAGGGGATTGTGATGCAATTGTAATAATAGTCCGAGATGTAGCTACAACAGATGTAGGAATGGTAGCAATTTGTCACCAGTCGAGATTCAGTGATGTCAAGAACAGGGTGCAGATATACTAAGCTCGGATCTTACTGTAATCCAACATGTAAAAACTACCACATAATGAGTTGCTATCTATTCATATTTCTTCTATATGACCAGGGCTGCTACCTTGAATTTTAACAAATTTTGTGTAGCTTTTATAGCTGTTATATCAAACAGAAATTCCATCAGTGCGTATCTCTGAATTACCTATTTGAACTATGGGTACCAGAATCCCCATGCCAATGTGTGGCTATGACTGTGCTGGGCAGGGAATTCTGGGATTTGTAGTCCAATGGTAACTTTTCTAAGATTTGGACAAACATATTGAGGATGTGTCCTCTGGAATGATGTCTCAAAGATGAAAGATATCTTTAAATCTTCCCTTCCAAGGGATGAGAAAGAGAGCCATCTTGTAGGAGATTAGAGCTTGAAATCATGACCTCTTTGGAAAACCCTTCAATTTGTGCACGAGCTTACAACTTGAATAAAAGGGTAGTTCCCTGCCCTTAGAAGACTACAGTCCAATCTATAAGTCAACACAGTACTCAGTACTCAAGACAGTACTCAGTAACACTTCAGATCATTAGGTCTCAAACAAAGATCTCTAATGATTGTTGTTTTACATCAGACCAGATAAGACAGAATTCTGCCTCATATGCCTAAGAGGGGTACACTAGAACAGATTTTTGGGAAAGTAGCCCACAGTTGTCAAATGAAGAGACAAGTATTGCTAATGAGTTCTGACAGGGAACCAGTTAGCCAAGCAACAAAAGATCATTCTGCAGCTTTACAAAGCATGACTCAGTGTTGTGACAGCATCAGAGACTAGATTATAGTACATCAAATAAACTAAAAATATAAAGGTGCCACTGGAGCCCCTACCAAGAGAATCAGAAATACTGCCAAAGGAGAGATCAATCAAATAATTTCAAAATCTTTACATTAAAGGACATTGAGTTTTGGTTTGTGCAAATATACACATTATGGAACATGTAAACTGCAACATATACAAGAAGGGTGAGATATTCTCCTGGACCCCCACTCCCAATTTTGCAGCCAAGGAAATCCTTTAGGACTTTACTTCTTAAATTGTGAGCCTTGACCCCAAATGGGGTCCCTTTAGCTCAATTTTGGAGTCATGAAAAATATGGCAACAGTAAAAGTTAAACACTGGTTGATCTCAGAGGTTCAATACTTGTGTTTAAAAGGATACAGTGGGTAGATTATGATACATTGTAAACAAATGGTCTCTTAGGACCATTCTAGATCACAATATAGTGGTGTACCTGAGGCATCACAAAATGATGATTAATAGCTGATGTACTGCTATCAGAGAAAGTAGCAAAACATTTTTGGAAAGCAAAACTGATTTCTCTATTATTTGTTCATCACTTCTCCAAACTATTTCATTTTTTCTAGGAAATTATTTTCCAGTTTGAGGAACAAACATGCAGAGCAGTCTGAATTTGCTAGTTTGACCAGTCATGCCTTTGGTTTTCCTGTCAGTGCTGCTCTACCATTGCATGATAAAAAAGTAGTCTTGCATGCTGCATATACTGGTCATCAAGGAATTGCACAGTATAGTGATTTGTTTTTGTAGGCCTCTGTATCCGATGTTTAAAATAAATTGAATTGTATTGGATATTATTCGTTTTGGCTGGTGGCACCATTTGCTGCTCAAGCAGCCAAATATCTTGGAGCAGAGTTGTTGGTTGCATTTTGTATAAGCTGTAGACCCTATATGATATTTCAGTTGTCCATTATTTTAAAAACGATTTGAAGTGGTAAAGACATTGTAAGACAAAATGTTTCAAAGGTAAGCAGTACAGAAATTCACAGCTTACTGGGTTTGGATTGATATGACATTTATCTTTCCAAATGATGTTGTCAAATGACATGGATGAATGAGTAAAGATCAATATTATGGAATTAAGTCCTCTGTATTCTTAGATTCTTGGTTTTCTGTCTTTTTTGGTTTGCCGTAAAGGGTCAGCAAGCAACTTCACAGTGTCATTTTTTGAAAGGTGGGGTCTTTTTGTCTCATGATTCTGTAGTTATTTTGACTGGTGACAACACTGTTAATATGCTTATTTGATAGTTCACTGCAAAAAATAAATGCATTTTGCAGTACCCTTTTATTTCTCCATCTGTCCCTACAAGTTCAAATGTATTATGTGATCTCCTAAAAAGAAATATTAGATTGATGTAATTAAAGCTATTTCCTTGTAGCCATTATTGATTGACAAAGGGCAATTCTTTCTAGACCTCGGAAGAGTGGAATTTATTTCATCACATGATGACAGAAAAGACTTATTGGAGTAACAGGAACATTATTGTTAAATAATGCATGTGTTTCAAAATGCTTTTAGTCTGAACAAAGAAAAGATTTCATTTTATCTAACTTTTTTCAACAAGCATTTTTTTTTTACTAAATTAAAAAAATTATTTCAGATAGGGGTCTAATGTCCGTAAAGGTACCAGATCTCATCTGATCTTAGAATAGTGGTTCTCAGTCTATGAGTCCCCAGATGTTTTGGCCTACAGCTCCTGGAAATCCCAGCCAGTTTATCAGCTGTTAGGATTTCTAGGAATTGAAGGCCAAAACATCTGGGGACCCACAGGTTGAGAATCACTGTCTTGGAAGCTTAGCCCTGGTTAGTACTAGAATATAGACTACCAATGGATACCAGCTGCTGTATGCTGTATGTCAGACGAAAGAACTGCCGAAACCACATGCTTAATAAATTCCTATGAAATTCAAGGGTTTTTCATACATCAACAGGCTACTTATCATATTGTCCTTTTATGACACTAACGTCCTACAATAATTTTAGGGACCTTGTTTTTAAAATACTATGAAGCATTTTGGAGGTTATTATTCCACTTTTGTGGAATTTCTTTCCACTTTTTCTAAAACAAGATTTCAAACATTAATATGAAATATGGGGTGAATATTCTACTATACATGGAGCTGGCACACATCTGCATGAGCATATGCCTTGCATCCCTAGGTAGGGCTGTGAAAAACCTTGGTATGAGACCCTGGAGAGCTGCTGTCAGTCAGCATAAATAATACTAAACCAAGTAGGCCAGCAGTAGCCTCCTTTGTTCCTATGCATTACAATGAACTCAGTACTCTTCAATAAAACAACCCTTCCAGCAAGCATACCTGCAGACATCTTTTGCAGAAGAATGAGATAATAAACTACCAGTGCAAACATAGTACTAAAGAATTTGTGTGTGTTTTGTGTGCTTTTGAATATCCAGAAAGGTCTAGAAGTTCCATGTGAGTGTGATATATACTTAACTAAGAGCCTTAGGGAACAAACAGTTCACTAAAGAGTTGTGGAATGCATTTGGCTTTGAAAATATACTTTTTCCTTTGGGAATTGTTTCAGTAGCAATTTTCTAGAACTGCTGAACCATCTCCCAACTACTTACCTAAGCCTAAGGAAGAATAGATGTTAAAATATTAACTCAGTGCTGCCAACAGTCTAGTCAAATGAACACACCCACATAACCTAATTCATTCACTCACAGTCACATATTCACTCATCATATAGAATGCTACTATCAGCTTGGTACATGAATTAACCATAAAACAAAGAATTTTCAAACCTGCTACTCAGAGTGTCTATATATTTTCCAGCTGCCGCAACATATACATACAATTCTTAAGCACATAAGAAGCGTACTGTCAAAGGTGGAGCCTTCCTGTTGAAACTATCTCAGTTTATTATAGCATTGAAATTTGTAAAACTATCCTGTTTATTCTAAATTTTTGATTTCTTTTCAGCTTCGGGAATGGAGGAATTTCCCTGAAGAAGACCCAACTTGACTTACACAAGTTTGTTCTCCTTAAGATTCTGGCTTTGCTGCTTCATCCTTGTCAGGATGGCCGAAAAGGCTGCTCCAGGGATGAACAAGAAGTCCTCGAGGTCTACCCAGTCTCTTCCACCAGAACCAGTGGAGATAATCAGGAGCAAAGCCTGTTCTAGAAGAGTCAAAATCAATGTAGGTGGTCTCAACCATGAAGTTCTATGGAGGACTTTAGACAGACTTCCACGGACACGATTAGGGAAGCTAAGAGACTGCAATACTAATGATTCCTTACTAGAAGTATGTGATGACTATAATCTCAATGAGAATGAATATTTCTTTGATAGACACCCAGGTGCTTTCACCTCCATTTTAAATTTCTACAGAACAGGAAAGCTACACATGATGGAGGAAATGTGTGCTCTCTCTTTTGGCCAAGAACTTGATTACTGGGGGATTGACGAAATATATCTAGAGTCTTGTTGCCAGGCAAGATACCATCAAAAGAAAGAGCAAATGAATGAAGAACTGAGGAGGGAGGCAGAGACACTGAGAGAAAGAGAAGGGGAAGAATTCGATAATGCCTGTTGTCCAGACAAAAGGAAAAAGCTATGGGACTTGCTGGAGAAGCCCAACTCATCAGTGGCTGCAAAGGTAGGACCCACTGAATACTTAAGCACAGAACAGCAATTGGATGATTTCTTTAGGTTACAGATATGTTAGAATATATTGATAAGCTTTACTGAAAATATATTTTAAGCTTTATTAGAAAAAATGTATTGGGTACTAAGCTATTGTAAAAGTAATAAAGGAAGTTGTACTTTCTGAGAAGTTGTGTAACAGTTTCCAGTGCAGGCAGATTCTTTCCCAAACACATGGCTCTTTCTTACTTATGACTTACTGGTTTATGAGCAAATAAATTGTGTCCATTGCACCATCAATTGTGAATTGAGAGCTTCACAGTAACTACACTGGTGGGTATTATGCTGTGGTAAAAATAGTTTGGATCTTAACATTTGTTTGTCAGGGGTTGCCTTCTTTTAATGTAGGGGAGAAGAGCATGAAAGTATCAACCAGAAGCATTAACTGACACCTTTAGCCATCACCTGGTGCTTCTAACTATTCCATGCCTGATTCATAAGTGTTTAAAAACCGTTTAGATAAAACTGTGGTTTTCTTACAGTTCTTTCATCTTTTTGCTTACCAGAGAAATTCTGTTGAAGGCAAACACCCTTTGTGAGAATGTTCTTTGTGTTCTGAGAACCACCTGTAGAATTTGAATCAATTTTTTTTTGTTTTCTCTCGTTTTCTTGATTTGAGGGAAATGAACAGTAATGCTGCTCTAACTTCCTGTGCAATCAGTGTGGTTAAATTCTGAGAAGTAGGAACAAGTATTTTTAAGATGACACTTTATTTCTTTGAATAGTGAAATGAATCTATCTCTTGTGAATGCTAACAATTTAGTGATTGTGACCGGATATCAGAATAGGTTACAATGGTTGTGAGTTCTGAAACATGTGCTGCCCGATCACTGCCACTTAACTCCCCTCACTATCTGGAATAACTAAACTAGCCAGATATTAATGACAAAAGAAAATATTTCTGTTGCAGCTGAACCCAGGCCCTAGATTTTCATTGCCTGACAAAACAGGAATGAGAATCCAACTTCGTTCTATGACTTCAGACCACAGCTTGGAAACATTACCTTTTTGGACTACAGCAAAATTTACTAGGCAGCATGGCCAGTTGCCACATGGCAGAGGATTCTGGAAGTTGTTGTCCAAAAAAAGAAAGAAAGAAAGAAAGAAAAGTAAAGAAAAGATTTCTAAGCATTCATTCAAGATTCTGGCATGGCCCTCTATTAGTAGAACAAATAAGTGAAGATAAATGACTGACATACACAAACATACTGTTTATGAATGGTAAATCAAAAGTTTGGCCTATTGTCACAATTGAACATTGCCAATACATTTAAATCTCTTTATCTCTCGGTCACCCTACCTATGTATATATTTGTAAAGGTTGGGCTTTTTGTTCCCTTCTTTAAACCTTTCTATAGCATAGAAGTTGACATTCCTTTTGTATTTGTATGCTACCGGGTTTGGAACATAGCTCCAAAATTAAATACATTTTATTCAGGGTTGTTTCACTAAAGTTTTATACTAACATTTGACTGATTACTTGCCAAAGTATCCCTGGCTACAGCTAGTAAATATATTTCATGTATAATCTCAGTGTGAGACATAAATATATTGCTGAATGAGATTTCCTTTTATTATCAGTAAAAATGGAACCTTACATTACATGGGAAATATGTGCATTACATTCTGCAGTAAGCATTATATAATTTTCACTTCTGTAACATGGTGAGGAATAGGATTCATTTATCTTCTCCATGATGTGATGTGTAAATTCCATAGCACTATATATCACTCTGTAGAGGAAAGTGCACTTGACTCCATTTTGGCTAGTTCAGAAGAAACACACATAAAATGGGAATAATAGATTGTTCTCTTTATTGCCATAGGTGTAGATGCTAACAGTTCCATAACCTGCACCCAATTATTAGTCCTAACAGGAGGAAAGTTAGTGAATCAATAGGTAAATCAACTCCCGTGTAAGTTCTGTTTATTCAGTGGGTCTGCTCAAGATAATTCTAACTTTGCATTTCAGCCCATGAATGCAAGGATGAGAAATGTTTTTATCATTGTCCCTCTTCCCACCTCCCTACTATTTGTTTCAGAAAGATAGCAAAGGTGAAAAAGAGGCATTTTGTAGACCTTATTTTCTTTTAATGAAAGGAAGGATAGTTTAGGATCCATGTCTGAAGTCATTTGTAGGTTTTACACCCATCTTGTAAGATTTTAAAACAGCAACTGTTTAGAAAGATAGCCTGCAAAATCCCAACAAGTGTTGATTACGTTGAAACCTGTCGAACAATATTCATAATCCTGTACCAATGTAATGCAAGCATACAAAACATATTTCCTTACAGGTGCTTTGGATCTGTAATTCTTATAATCTCTCGCCAATGGTATTGCTGTCAAAGAGTACTGGAAATTACAGTCCAGCAACAACATCTAGTTGCTCACATGTTTTCCATCCCTTCTTTAATGGAAGGAAATGTGTATAGCTTTCTTTGGAAACAAATATTTGGAATCAAACTGAATACAGCTTTCTTTCTTAGTTTAAATAAAAGACCATATTTTTGATCAGATAAATCACTCAAAATCCTATTTTATTAATTAATTTGATTTGATGTATACATGTATAAGGAAGTTCTTTCAAAATGATAAGACAATAAAATACGAATTAGATGTTGAAACTTTGCTGTCTTTCTGGCTGAGTAATACAGAATCTGTGTTCCTTTGGTATCTGCTTTATTATCTGGAAGGAACAGGTTCCAGTTTTCATCTCTGAAGTACACGATTCTGTCTGTGTTTGCTCAGTCTATTCAAACACAATTTAAACTGATGACGATGACAACTCAGAATCCCTTTAGAAGTATGTTACTAAATAGCTGTGCACTCAAGATCCCAGAAACCAGCCTGGAGGTGATGGGGCATGTCATTGAGCTGCCATCCCAAATCCCAGTAGAACAAGGGCTAGATCAAGAGCTCTCCACAACATGGGCAGCTCACTGATCCAAGCAGGATGGTGTCAGCTTTTCAAAGTACAGCTGGCCTGCCTTCTGTCTCACTAGGAAAGGAAATGCTTGGAATGAAATCATCATTGTACAGAATAAAATGCTTTGGATTTTTTTTACAGAAAGAATAATAGCATAGTGCCATTGTTTTAATTCTGACATTGCCAAATAAAATGAACTGCAGTCCACACAGCTGGCAGCAAAACAGCTTGTATTTTTCAGAACAATCTACATTACAATTCCATCTCAGTGTTGAACGTCAGTCAACATCCTGCAAAGAAACTTAGGAAATGCAGTGCTGGATTCCTTACAAGGGTGTGTCAGAGAGTCTTTATTGCCCCCTACAGAACAACTGTTCTCAAGGAATGGCTGTTAAATAATTTCAAATCTGTAATGTTGGCATCATCTTCAAACTGTTTTAAAGATGCCAGTAAACTCCTGACTGGCAAGGCACAGTAAAAAGACCTCATCGTCCTTCTCTCTAGCTTGTCAATATTGAAGGGAGATGGTAGAGTATATAGGGGCACACATATATGCTTCTCAGGGTACTCAGTGAAGAGATACTAGGTTGTTGTTATTATTATTTGAAACACAAGATGAGTCCACAGCAGACACTCTGCTGGCTGTTGAATTGGATCACACGTCGGACACTTCCCAAGTGTCTAGGCTGTGTGATGTATCGGTTAATAATGCGTGCAGATCCCAGTAAGGTGGCCTTCTGCAGCTAACAGATGGTAATTTTGACAGCGCCGATTGTGTTTAAGTGCAGGTCAAGGTCTTTAGGCACTGCACCCAGTGTGCTGATTACCACTGGGACCACCTTTACTGGCTTGTGCCCGAGTCTTTGCAGTTAAATCTTTAAATCTTCATATTGTGTCAGCTTTTTCAGTTGTTTCTCTGCAATCCTGCTGTCACTTGGGATTGCAACATTGACGGTCCATACTTTGCTTTTTAACACTATTATTATTGTTATTATTATTATTTGAAACACAACAAGATGAGTCCACAGCAGACAAGATCACTCTGCTGGCTGTTGTATTGGATCACTCGTCAGACACTTCCCAAGTGTCTAAGACTGTGTGATGTATCGGTGAATGATGCGTGATTGTTGTTGTTGTTGTTGTTGTTATTATTATTATTATTATTATTATTATTATTATTATTATTATTATTATTATTGGTCTTGTGGAAAGAATTTAGGGCCAGAAATACAGATATATAACCTAGAGTTATTCATTATCCCTATGGATTCATGATCATAGCATTATTGTCACAATAGTAACTGCCCCACCAAGCCCACTTTACTGGGCATCAACCAGAAAGAGAAAAAGGGGTCTATTCTGCTGCTGATTGGGACATGGCTAGGTTATGTTTCCATCACCCTCCCACTACCAGCCATCAAGACTGGGATGATCTGAAACAAGATTCCTGTCACATATTCTGGTTACAGCCTTACTGGCTTGCGGGAAAGTGATGAAAACATCTACCTGTGCCCCAATCACTAACAGAATGGACCTGCTTCCCTTTGCATGGCTGATGCCTCATAAAGTAGGTTAGGTGGAGGCCAGGAAAGGAAATGCTATTTAGATATGCAGTTAAAGTAGTTTATATAACTAAGCAGTACATTTAGAATTCTAGCTGAAATCTTTGAAAAAGCTTGTGAGTGGTTTCTTTGTTCCACAAGTTCAATAGAATGGGAAAAAATGGCAATTTGTATTAGGATTTCCAGATTGAAAACTGGAGAGGGCTTCTTGTACCTTTGATAGTTGAGTAGAAGAGCTAATTACAGCAAGTGTTGCTTGTCATGCAGCTGAGTAACAAGCTACATTTGCTGAAATTCCTACTTTCAAAGAGCCATTAAAGTTAGAGGGACCCTGCACTGACATTTTGATATACTAATGTGTATATTTAAAATATATGCCAGTACAGTTTTCCCCAATCTTCTATAAGTGTTTGGTTACAAGCCCAGTTCTTCCCAACAATTGTGGCTATGGGTCTGATGACCAGT